TTGGTGGGCATTCCTGTGGGGACTGAAAAAAAATTATGATACTGAAGAAGCCTGTTGGAAGTATCTGCAGTGAGAAGCAAAGCAGCTCCCCTGTCTGTCAGAGTCCCTCTCACACAAAGCTGCTTTGCTAATTTGCCCATCCTCTGGAACCACATAAGGAATCATAAAAGGATGCCCCCATTCACAGTGAAGAAGACAGTCACATGGAGCAGAGATACCAGAGGCATTAAAGGAACACATACACAGCTGATGAGAAGAAGGGATGCTTTAGAAACTCAGGCAGTAGCAATACAGCAAGCAAAGCCTGGAATGTTGATTTGACAATGATCATTGTCATTTCCCTTTGCAGTGTGATCAGAAAAACAGAGGGAGCTGAATTCATCCTACAGCAAACTGTGCTGACATAAGTCACTCTGCATCCTACAGATTTGGCTTTAATTTTGAGTTGACCTCATTAGTACAAACAAAGTGTTCTTCAAGAATGATGCTGAATTAGAAACTGCTTGAAATATTTCTAGAGACTAACACAATACACTATAATTAAAGACATTATAATCAGTGACTTGATTTCTTTTGCTCTGACTTCACTTTGCCTTACTTATTTATTTATTCATTCACTTTGGAAAGGTCTGAAAGTCAAATTCAATTTTGTCATTTGCTCATGCTGGGAGCTGCGCTGTTCTTCTGGAAATGGCATGGAAATGCTGGTAATGAGATGCCAAAACCATCAAGCAATATTTACAATTTAAGGGCCAGTTCAAATACAAAAGCAATTTGTATTTCTGCACCATAGGCACATCTGCAAAATCTTTGGGGAACAGAGAAATCTGTTTTCTCCTTATTGGCTTGGTCTTGCATTACTAACAAGTCAGGAAGAATGGCAGGGGTTCTTCAAAGAGTAAAAGAAATGTAAAAAGTAAATAGAGAAGTGGGTGCCTTTTGTTTGTTTAATTTTGTATTTTTAAACACATCTCAGGTGTAGAACTGAAAGAACTCTTAGAAAGCCACTGTTTACTCAGACAATTGCAGCTCTGTTTACTTAAGCTGTGCTCACCATGTCTGAAGTTGAGCCAACCCATTCCAGTGTAAGTTAACAATGGCCTAGCAATGCCTCTGTGACCCACGGACAGAGAGCCACAGGGGATCCAGGCAACCCTCTAAATCCACCTAGAGACCACTGAGAGACACTCAAGCACCATGCTAACTAGCCAGGTTAAGGTTTCTCTTTGGTGACTGAGGAAGCTCACATTCATACATGTCTGGAAATCACATTTTCAAGTGCATCCTTTAGCTTCAAGAGTCTCGTGTCCGGCTTAAAGTGACTGATCTGCCAGGAGAGACTTGGGCATCACTGTCTGAAGTCAGTGGCAGCTACAGCTATGAGCACCTTTGAAAAAACTACTCTGAGTCAATAAATCTCACAGGATTTACTTGAGGTCAAGAAGAGGGGCTAAAAGTGCCCCACAAAAAGCTATTTGTGCTTATCTAGGTAGTGACAGGAATGGAGGAAGCATCCAGAAAAGGCTGCAGGGACCAAGACCACAGAGGAAGAAGGTCACCTCTGAAGTTCCCCAGGCCCTTCAGGGGCCTCAAAGGAAATGTCTTGACTTCTCCTCCCAACTTTCCTTCCCCTTCCTCACCAGCACCTATTCTTAGCAGCTTTGTCTGAGAGCTGAGAATAGAACTTGGTTCCTTAATTCCTCACCTCCTGTTACCTCATATTTTGTCTCTGAGTGCTCAGGGTGGTGACAGAGGTTTAAGCCTTGCTTATGTTTACACAGTGACTGCTTTCCTGTTAAATAGGGTTTCTTTGGCTACTGGGACATGCTATAGGGATGAGATCAGCCCTGTTTGGTTCTAATGATTTAATTCCTTCAAACAACATTACAGAGACCTGAAAGTGCCATGCCTTGCCCAGACCCTAAGCGTTGCATTCAGCAGTGAGCACTTGGAGCCAAAGAGTTACCCATTTTCATGGTCCACAAGTTCTGCTGCTGGCACAAAACATGAAAACAACACCATAACACGCTGCTTTTTCTTCTCTGCTGCATTCAGCAAGGGGAGACCACTTGATTACACTTTAAGATGGAACTGGCTCAACAAGTTGAGCAGCCTGCAGGGCTGCTGGCCAGGGAAGCTGCACCTGCACTGCTGCCAGCAGGCAGCAAGAGAAGACACCCAGCGCTCAGCTCTGCTGTGGGGAGTGACTTCCCACGCCAAAAACAAGTGGAAAACACTGTCCTTCTTCTTCCTTAGCCCCATTACTCCTTACTCCATCTACCCCATCTAATCATTATGACATCTGAGTGCCTTTGTGTGTCAGCTTCCTGTGAAGTAATCACCTAAATCCCTCTCTGAAACAAAGCAGACCCTGCTGAGGAACTCACAATAGGTGCCTTTCACTGGCAGGACAACCTTGGCCTCAGTGGCACTTACAACAAAGCTTCCATATGTGCACCAGTATGGGCTGATCAGTCAGATCAACACCACACAGGATCAGAGCCTGGGCATTTGTGAGCATGAAGCAGTAATGCCTCTCAAAATTTCTCCATCTTCCTGAAAAAATACTTTTTGGTGGTTGTTCTTTTGTGTTTTTTTTAAAATATGCTATAACACATTAATCTGCTACAGACTTTTATCCACATTTATGAGTCTGTTCGAGGAGATAAAAAAGAAGCACCAGCTCCAAGGGGTGGTGTCTGTCAGTCATCCCCACTTTCAGAGACTGCCTGGCCATTGTCTGCTCTTCAAGCCCAGGCTGGGGCTACTTTTTAATATTTCCTTTGGCAGACATCCTGGGTTTTCCCCCTCCCTGGGGGAGGGATCAAGGGCGATAAGTTCTATTCTAATAGAAGACAAGTCAATGATAATCTTTGGGCATCTGCAGTGAAGAGGTATTTCCACAGCTCTAGCTGGGATTAGGCACATAATGGATCAATGAAAGATCTCACCATTTGACGGTTATAGCATCATTCATTAGCGTTAAGATTTGAACCTGAATCAACAATTGAGTTAGAAGATTGAAAGAATTGCTTTCAGTATTTGAAATAAATTGTAACAGGCCTGTAAAAGTCCCCTGAGGTGTCTCTCTTTCTCTCCCTATACATATATATAGAGAGATCGGTTCTGCTGAATGCTTAAAATTAGATGAAAGTTGCTGAGCTTCTACACGGGAGGAAGAAAAAGCAGAGCTTCTTATGTAAAGTGAAAGGGGGCAAAATAATGCATTTTTGGTTTGCCTATCAAAGCACTTCAAGAGCACTTCAAGGATCCAGGCACTGACTTGTTATTCAGTCACTTACCATGTCTCACATATAACAATTCACGAAGAGCTAATAATAAACAATACGCCCCCTCCTTATACACAAACATGCAAACACACACACAGGAGCTCCTTGTAAATGAGCAACACTGATCACATCCACTTTTCTTGTCACAAAACTAGGACAAGTTCACTCTTAATTAACTGCTTGGTGCACAGACCACTAAAAAATTAACTACCCAGAGGACTTAGACACCAAGTTTTCATTCTCAGCTACTTATCATTTCTGGAACAAAGATCCATCCACCCACCACTAATTTGGTAAGAAATTAAAAGTGATAAAAAAGCAGTTCCACAACTGGGTGACAAATGTTATGGGTAGTTAATGATTAATTACCACTATAATACAAAACAGCCTGGTTTCACTGTAGAACCTTGATTTCATAGCATTATTTTTTCCATAAAGGCAATTTTCAGGTTGGTGCAAAGACTATGTAATGCATCAGTGCCAAAAACCTTCCTGAAAGGCAGCGAGTAGAAGCAACTATGAAATGCTCTGTAGGCCAGGAGATCTTGACCCAGATCCCTGTCCTACAGCCCAGCCTGGGCCATGGAGCTGTGGTGGGGTGGCTGCAGTCCTTCCCCGCTGGGGCCAGTACATTTTGGTGCTTGCCCATCCTCTATATTACCTGTGTGCTAACCCAGCCCTATGTTATTCCCACTGTCCCTTAGTTTTGTAGGCATAAACCCCAAGGCCAGCTAACTTGGTCCTGCATCCCTCTCTCAGAGCAGTTGCCAGGCTGGTTTGGGCAGAGGATGGTGTCTAACCTGTTGGGTCATCAATAAATAAGGACAAGGTTTAACTCCCTACTACAGATTGAACAACTTGTTCCTGTGACTGTTCTATAGCTATATAAAATCAACACAGCTCTTCCTGTTGGCTTGCAGAAAAAGTAAACAATTAAGCAATATCCAGATTTTTATGAAGTAGATACCTAAATAACTAGTGGCAGCACAAATACATGCCAAGCCAGTAGATGCTGGAAGAAGAAAGATCTTAACTATGGGAGCCACATCAGATCATAATTAGCACAGAAAGCTATTAAAGAGATTATTTAAATTATGACAAAATATTAGAAAAAATTCTCTATCTGATTCTTTGTCTGCGTTTATTACACAGGTCAGTTTTCAAATTGCAATTGCCAGTGAGAGAACTCCCTGAATCATTTACTAAGTATAAATAATTTAACACCAGTCCAAAAGCAATGCAGTCAAACCTTCTGCCTGTTGCCCTGCTACTACTATTGAAACTGAACTCAGATGCTGATGTTAAGTTTGTTGACAGTGAGAAAATCAGCAAGAGTGAACATTCCAAAGCCTGTATCTGTGCCCTCCCTGACTGCCTGTGCTATTAGTTTGGGGATAGCTGTTTATGCTGATAGGCATCAGCCACCTGCCAGAGCAGAATATTGAACTGCCAACCAAGCCAGCTGTGCATGGAATGACAGCAGCTCCACGTTTATACCTGCAAGGCTGACTCGAGCAAGTTAAGGTTTGGAGAATAAAATTCTCCAAAGGGTACAGTAGGGACTTTCTCAGCTGAGAGAAAACTCTCTTAGGGGCTCTATAAAGCTCCGTGTACACGGCCCAGTAATGCCAGTCAAGCTATAAATAATAATTTCATTAACAGAGTTGTATCTAGTGATAGTAGAAAGGACATTTGCTTGAAAGTGCTCACCTGGGAGATGCTTCTGGCTTCCAATACCTGCAGAAGAGGTACTGCCCATCAGCATTGATGATATGGGGCAGATCCTTGTATGGGATGTTCTGAGGACTCCGCTTTGGCGAACTTTCCTCTGGCATTCTGGAAGAATGACCTGCAAGGTGTTAGAAGAAACAAGACATACTTTAAAACAGGTGGAAACAAGATAAAAGCTCATGGGCTTGGCAGCCACAGACACTCAAGAAAGTCAATCAGTAAGGCAAGTACCACTGATGGGAGGCTGCTCCCAAAACAACAGCCAAAGAGCCCCCAAAACCACTGCTTTAAAACAGAAATGTAGCAAATGTTTTTGTTCGGAAAAGGCTCACATTTAGAGGTAGAGCATTAAGCGGGGGAGGGAACAAGAAGAAGGGAAGAGCAATCCACCATCAGTACTTCATTTATGGCTTTCTATTCTTCACTTCTCCCATCTGAGTTTATTTTGCATCATTTTGTGAAGCGGATCCTAAAGAGAATATTTTAACTGCAATCAAGAGCAAATTATGCAGCAATCGCTACAGATATGAAAAGACAGCTGCATAAAAGATTTATCTCTGGCGGAACATCTCCAAAGAACAGTGGTGGGTACACAGCAGAGGTATCTGCCACCGTGTCATCATTAAGATCTTCTCTGACATCTCAGACAGGAAGGTGGCGGCGGCGGGGAGCGAAACATCTCCAAGAGAATTCGCCACGAACCTGTTTTCATCCTGTGCAAGGGTTTGCATTCTAGAGAGGAGCCGGCATCGCAAGTCAAACGCAAGCAGAGGAGGCTTTTCGCATCTCGCTGCGGAGCCGCGCTCGCAGCCCGGCAGCCCCGCGGGTCCCTCCCGGCGCTGCGGGCGCGGGGCTCGCCCCGGCTCCTCTGCCGGCTCGCTCGCTCTCGGAGGAAAGTCGCTTGGGTAATTCACCGCTTCTCGTTCATCACTTTTGTTTTTTTTTTCTTCTCAAACAAATTGCGTGTGCGGGCTGAAGTGGCGGTGGTGGGAGGGGAGGCTGGGAAGGGTTGGGGAGAGGGAGGGCCGGCGGGTGGGAAAGCTGCAGTCCACTTTCCAGAAGCTGCTGCACGCACATCAAAGGCACCTTGAGCACATGCAGCTGGAGCAGCTCACAAAGTTCCTGCCGCGGCAGGTTGTTTGCAACTTTACTTCCTTCCTGCCACTTACAGTTCGGAGGCCGCGGCGCCGGGGGGAGGCGAGGGAGGGGGAGACCTTTCCTCAAAGCGATCCCCGCTGCGAAGCCATCTCTCGTGTCAGCGCAACTTCCCCGGCCCCGCGCTGCCAGGCGGCGAGCGGGAGGGAGGGGAGCAGCAGCAGGAGGAGGAGGAGGAGGAGAGGGAGGAGGGAGGATCCAAGCACCGACGCGATGCCAGGTCGCCAGCCCCGCACACGCATCCTCCAGCAGCGGCCGGGCGCGGCGGCCCCGCGGAGCCGAAGCGCGGTGGCTCCACCGCACGGTGCGCACGGGCTGCTCCCGGAGAGAGGGACAGCGGCGGAAGGGCGGTGGGCGGGTGGATACAGGGATGGATGGAGGATGGATGGAGGATGGGTGGATGGATGAAAGGATGCATGGATGGACGGATGCATGGATGCGTGGATGGATGAAAGGATGGATGGAGGGGCGGGCGGTGCTGCCGCACCCTCGGCTGGGCTGGGCCGGGCTGGGCGGGCAGCGGGGGAGCCCCGCGGTGCCCCGGGGCGGAGGCACGGCCGCCCCTTGCCCGGTGCCCTCCCGCGGGGGCTCCGCTCCGGCTCCGGCTCCGCCGCCGCCCCGCTGGGCTGGAGCGGCCACAGCGCTCCCGCAGCCCCGGCACCGGGATCGGGCACAGGGATCGGGCACCGGTATCGGGCACAGGAGCGGCCGCTCAGCTGCTGCGGGCTGGGGGACAGCGGAGACAGCCCGGGGGCGGGGGCAGTGGCGGCTGAATTTCAGAGACAGGACACCGTGGAGCCGAGCTGCCTCCTGGGCATCCCGGTCCGAACAGCTCCTTGGCATCCCAACACCAAACTTCGCTGTTTAATGTGGACCTCTTCAGGCTTTGGAGCCATACTGGGGAGCTCACTCCGATACCATCAGAGAAGTGCCCAAGCTTTGCAGCCTCATTCAGGGTAAAGGCCATTTATAAACACAGCACATGATTTATACTCACATAAATCATTATGTCACTATAGACTATATGCAATACATGTGCTGCTACTCTGTAATGTGAGATCTATTTGGTGGTATGTGATACTTGCTTATAAAAATTGTCACAGCAAGGTTCCCTGAAGCCAAAATAGCTCCCCAGCTTTAAGGAGAGCTATCCCAATAGAGAATTTTGTCATTTAATACTGCTAAGAGGTTAGCATTGATTGAGCACAGATTCATGCCTTTTACATTTCATCAGCTCCTTTCATTTTTACATGCCTACATATGCTTAGAGGTCTCAAGCCTTTCTAAGAAGAGGCAGCTATTAACCTTATTTTTGAAGTGAAGCAACATGCTCATCAAGTGTAAATCTGTGAAAAAAGGTTGAAGAAAGGAAAGAAATGCATGCTAACACTAATAACAATAAATGCAAAACCTCAGAGATGAGCCATATAAAAATAAAAAGGAAATCAAAACCATATTTTATTTTACCCATCTTTCAGTGTCATTTATATTAAATGCCTAGGGGGGAGTGTTAGTTATAAATGGAAAAAGCAAAATTACATGTTCCTGTAACTGCTGTTGTTTGGGGAAAAAAATGAACAAAACCAACATTTATGGTTGTTTATAATGAGTGAGATTTAGGTCAGATGGCTCTTAAGCAGAGCCCTGGGAGCTGTACCTGGAGCTGTACCATTTGCTAGGCCAGTTACTATCTAAGTATGAATGGGTGGAATTAAAGAGCTATCACAAGCCAGCTCCAGAGTTGGTAGAAGCAAGAACATATATAATTATTTAAATGATACAGATCAGATAATAACTGGATTAAGAAGAAAAGAAAGAAGGAAAGAAGCCTCTTCCCCCGCTCAGGGTTTATCTGCCAGGAACACTTTACTGCTTCCCTACAGCCATCCATGAAATCTGATGCCAGGAACAGGCTCCTCTCCTGCTGTGGTGCTGGGAATATCAGAGTTCCCAGGGCCACAGAAGGGTGGAGGGAGTTGAGGAGAAAATCTCTTTTTAAACTTCTGGATAAAAATAGCATCTCAAGGAAAACGACCTTTGTTGGGACACCAGGGCGAGACCCTGACTTTGAGAGCCTGCCCTGGCCAGCCCAGATATCTGATTCCCTTGGTGCCCTGTTAACCTCGGTGTAGCTAAAATTGGAGGCAGCAAAACTGTGGTGCAGCCTGCCCTCTCTGCAGGCCCAGGTCCTCACCACAGCACTGGAATGAAGAATCAACCAGCAGCTCCTTCCCTTCTCACCAGCCTCCCCAAGACCCCAGGAGTTTGAGGACATTTCTTCCCATGGGTGAAAAACACTTCCCCATCTCAGTGTCAGCAACATGAAAATGAATGAGGAGAAGCTGCTGATTTGTTGTCTTATCATTTTGCAGAATTTAAACTGTGAATGAAAAGCCACTGGAGAAAACTGGATTGTGTGTGGGGAATTCATGTACCTGATACCCAGGTTTCAGCAGAGCAATTGCTGCACACTGCCTCCCTGTGAGAAATCAAAGGGATGCCTGAGCATGCAGTATTTATGAGATTGTAACATCTTTTCTTGGTAGAGTGAAATACATTTCAGAAGCAGAGCTTAGGCTAAATCAACTTCTAATAAAAAAATAAATTCACATTTGGTGAATCTTTACACTAACTCAGCAATTACTCAATCCTTGTAGGAAAGGATGTTTGGTTTATTAAAGGCCAAGTCCTGATTAATTAATTGTCTCCACTGATCCCCAAGGTATGCACAGGAATATAGATAAAAGGGATATTTGCTTTCAGATGAAGCAAATTTTAGGGAAAGGATCAATTGCTGGAATGACATAGTAAATACCTGTAATGAAACTTGATATCACAGCAAGAGGAGAGGAAAGAGAGGAAGAGAAAAGAGAAGAGAAGAGAAGAGAAGAGAAGAGAAGAGAAGAGAAGATGATGGGAGAGAGCACAGCAGGCTGGTGTGTAGCTCTGATAGCAGGGTAAGGGAACAAGGAACAAGGATTTTCTTTGCAGTTAGGCTTTTGTTCCCAAAATGAATTTTTAATGGATCCTGTCCTGTTGTCATGCAAAGGTAAATAGACTGTATGAGATCCTCCTGCTCTTGTTGACAGCACCATGTCCCTAAGTTTTAAAGCAGTGGTTTTGTTTGAGGAGTAGATTTGATAGGCTGTGTGTGCCAAACCACTTGGGATTCTGCTCACCAGGACCACAAAGTGAACTTTTGCTGACAAGAAGGAGGAAAAAACATAAGAGGAGGAGGACAGAATAATAAAATATATTAGTAGTATGTGGTTATGGAAGAATCTGCTGCAAAACCAGAAAAATGCTGGAAGTTACAGTAGTCAGGGAGCAGCTGGAGAGAGCAACAGACAGCACAAGCGATAGAACATCTGGGAAATGATGGGAAATGAAGCATGAAGAGGAAGAATTGAAATCAAGTGAAAATCAAAGAAGCCAATGCCACTAAAGCTGTCAGTTTAGAGTAACTAATTTGAATTTTCCCTTCTCTTCGGCTGTTTTTAAAATTATTATTATTAATCCTTAGATGGAGTCCAGTCATTCACCTTTACTTATTTCTGTAATCTGCCTCTGCTTTTCTGTTGGTTTTCCTGAACAAGACATGTATGGGGATGAGGCAGGAGTGGGGGCTGGGATCAACTGTTCTCACTTGCCTGTAAAATATCTCTTTTAACGTCTTGCAGCCAAAAAAGAAGCTTGGTGTCAGGCAAACCAGACTGAGGGAGAATATACTAGAGGAAAATACTGTATTGATCAGGTTAATCTTAACAATGTCAGGAGGAATTATAAGTAGCTCAAGATTGTTCTGCAAAATTCTACAGCCTCATGGATCACCTCACAAATTGGTGTGAAATGGAGAAAGGCTGAAGGGTAAGCACAGGGAATACATGAGTATCACAGAAATTGTTTGCAGGCTTCCATTTCCATTCATTTGTGGCCCCTCAGTAATCTCACCTTCCCCAGTCAGTAGGAATAAAACTATTAGATTAAGCTACAAGTGGGTTAATACTCCTAGATGTAAACTACAGTCAAATAATACAGCAATTTTACCATGTAAATAAAAATAATTAGTGGTAAAAATAGTTCTAATTTTTTGTAGGTAATAAAAACTTGCAAATCATGCTGTAATGAAAAGTCATAAATCTGTGACTTGCAAACAGCAGCTGTATGAGTGGAGTGATTATTATCTTGCCTGTGCTGCTTATTTGACAGAGCAAAAAAAATACACACTTAAAAATACATTAATTGAATATCAGTTTCAGCCTTTTTAACTGATGTATAGAAGATTACCTATCCTACACAGATGCTAATTTGAGAACTGGTTGTTTTTCATTACAGAAGCAATGCGTATTTTGTTGGGTGGTTCATTTGGTTTTTTTGTTTGAGTTTTTTTTACTAAAACCCCCACAAGATTATTAGTACCAGATTCTGAGACATTTTTAGCATTAAGAGGAAGGCATCTTCCAAAGGCAGGAAATTCAAAATGAGAGTGGAAATTCTGCCCTAGAGCTTTTTTCCATGGTAGGGAGGTTGATGGAGTTACTTTGGCAGCCTTTTGGTTTGAGAATAGCTCTGCCTTGGGAATGAAGAGGTTTTTCAGAGGTCGGGAAGAGCACAGGCTGAGCTGTGCCAGCACTAGAGGGCACAGCCTCAGCTCTGCGGCACGTGGGCATTGCAGCCCTACCAAAAAAACCCTCAGCTGGGCTGGTTTGGGCTGTTTTTATTCATTCTACCCTTTATCTAGAGGTTTTCTTTAGGCATCTGTCCCTTTTTATCTTTGCAATGTCTAAATAAAAGTTTCCTGTACTGGTATATAATCAGTCCAATTTTCCCTCTGGATTTGTACTCATCCCTGGAATGAACTTCAGTGGTGTAAGGAGAAAGGGAAATCCTGCCCTTGTCAGTGTGAGCACAGACAGCTTAAATGATGTTTTCACAGAATGGCATTTCCTTGCTCATGGCCATAGTAATGTTCATAAAATGTTGGTCACCTTGGCAGAAAAAGGGTTTTGGGGGCAGAAAACAAAATCAAAAGGAACCTGAAGGAGAAGGTCCAAACCTTGGAATTTTAATATGGATAAAAATCAGAGTAAGATGACACTATGAATTTTCTCTAGCAGGAATAATGGTCTCAGTTTTGAGGAGTACCTGACCATTTCTTTTTTCATTTTTATTCCTGAGGTTGACTGCATAACCCACTCTTACAAACCCAGCATTATTGCACCAGGGCTAAATGCTACAGCCAAAAGCCAGCCCTACCCTGCCACGCTGAGAGTGGTGCTTTATTTTGGTAGCTGAACTGGAAGCATTGACTGCAGAAGGGCTGTTATTGTGCTGCCTGCTTTTCTTGCCTGCTTTGCAATTGACAAAGCATCATTTATCACGCTTTGCATTCCAATTTTTCTTTGCACGTTTTCCAGCTCATCATAACATAATTATGTTTCTGTTTCCTTCAGCCAGGGGCTGATACTTTCTTTTACTAAGACAACAGCTGCACTGCACAACCTTGATGAATCCCCATAAGGGTGAAAAGAGTCTGTGGTGCTTGTTTCTGCCTTGGCAACCCAAATGTTCAGGCTCTTTTTTGTGACAAATGCTGCTCTAAAATGCACCCAACCCTGATGCTTTCATAGCATTTCTCAAAATTGGGTTTTATATTGTAAATTAGACTTTAAATATTAAACATTCTGCCTGGTTCGTAATTTTAAAGGCTTCCTTTGTTACATTTCTGTTTGTGGTGTTTATAGGTTATAGACTCTGGATGGAATTTAGAAGGCTGTGGTTACTGATGTGAAATCTGTATTTTGAATGAAATTGACTTTATGTGTGACAATAAGCACAATCTGAAGGTCTGTTTTATGTTCCTAAAGAGCATCTTAAGGCAGCTTTCACAGTACAGGTGAATCATTTCCTTGATTACAGCCTCAGTTGCTCCAGCCTCATTGTGGCAGAAAGGTAATTACAGAAACCCCATCTCTGAAGGGCATTAACTGCTAATGATGGGAAAAGACTCACAGTATTTTTATTATCAGTTGTTGACATATTTTATTTAACTCTAATGCAGTACTCTGAACCTGAGATTTTAAAGTACTTCAGAAAGAAAGAATGATTTCTGTATTTTACATAGGAGAAACCAGTGCAGAGAAAATCAGGGCTCAATACTGGAGGCAAGCTGAGGGCAGAATCCATTCTTAATGCTACTGATTTTGCTTACCCAATTATACCATTACTAATTCCAATTTCATCTCAAAATCTATCCATCAGAGCACTCTGTACAGTGGAAGCAGCAATGTTTTCAGCCACTGAATATTGCCCAGGTTTGTAAATATATGGGACATTGTGGCCTGGACAATACCACAGCCTGGACAATTGCATTATTCAGGGCAACATTTTCCCTACAGTTTTGCTTTCTATCATATTGTTCTGGTGCTATTACTCCTGACACTATCATTTGAAGATTGTTTGTATTTATACATAAAAATTACAATAAATCTGTAAGTGGAGACAAGAGTTTAACTGATATGATCAGTCCTATCAGCCATATCCATGTGCTCCGTGATCTAAGGATTCTTTGGGACACTTTAGAGTATTTCAGTTTTGTGATGCTTGAGCTCTGCCCAGCACACTGGACATGATGCAATTGCCTGGAAAGCAATTAGATATTGGCGTTGATGGCAACTCTCCCTGCCCAGCCAGGGCCAATTTCTCTCAATGGTTCTGCTGCTGATAACAAAATCAGTGGCTCCTTGTGTTGGAAAGACAATGAACACCTGGCTCATGAGAGGAGCCTGCCCTGTGCTCCTTCCTCCTTATAATCCTGAGGCAAATTCAGGCATATTTCACTCAGATCTATTTTAGCTTTTTTTCATCTATCATCCGTTTCTTTATTCAGTCCACTCATGTTCAATATAAGATGTGCATTCTCCTTCTGATTCATGTACAGTAATTACTTCCTAACATCTGCCTAACAGATTTTGTAAGAAAAGTAACTCTTCAAATATTAAGAAGAAAAATTAATGTATGAAATCTTTGAAATCTCCATTACTGGTGTTTGTGATCCACAGCTGACTGGATTCATTTCCCAGCCAGGAAGCTGGTTCAGCAAAACAGCTGCATTGGTTATTTAACTAACTGGAGGCCTGATCCTGCTCACACTGATGCAAAGCTGGAATAGCACCAGAGGAAATAAAAAATATCTCTAGTGTGAAATATATGTTGCAGAACAAAATAAAGCTTTGTGCTATGGAACAACAAAAGAACTGTGGCAGATACTCTGCCACCCTGGTATAGGTGTTAGGCAGGATCTTAATGTCTTGCAGGAACCTCACCCCAAATGCACTGCCAGCTCCTGGGAGGGCTCTTTTACTGTGGTGGCACCAGGTGACCAACAGAACTAAGGCCCAGTTGTGCTCAGTGTTGTGCCCCAGTACCATGAAATCACAGGTGACCTGTTCTGTACTAAGTACTCATCACTGTTTGCATCTGGTTCATAATTGTTCCCTCTCACTTATTTAATGTTTACAGTGTCAGCTACAATTATTTTATACCTTCTAGCCCAGAAAAATGCACTCACTGATTTTTCTCCTAGGCTGAATTAATGCATGTGGTAATTGACCCAGGAGTACACAGAAAGGAGAAGTCAAAGGAGAAGCATTGCAGTGAAAAATGGGACAAATAATCCCAAAGCATCTCCTGTGTAAGATGGCAATGCTTCTTAGACAAACTCAGGACATGAAGGGATGGTTACCAGAGCCTTGTATGCTTTAGAGATGTGTCTTCAATCCCCAAGGCCATCAACACCTGCCATCTGATCTTATTGTAAAATTAGTACTGTTAATAACATCAAAAGTTACAGTATCTGAGATTTGCTTCCCAAACTTCATCCTGTTTCCTCCAACACAAGTTATCCATTTATCTTGGCTGCAGTCTGATTCTCCTGTAGCACAGGTATCTGTGGTTTTGTTTGTGCTGTGCAGGCCGTGGCATCTGCAGCTGCTGGGGACTCTTAACACCAATTCACATTCCTGTTGCAGACCCATTGGAGAGGTCTCCTGAACTCTTGCAGATGGGAACATTCCAGCCCACAGTACTATGCTCTGACACCAGCGCGTGCTTATTTTCACTTGTTGACTTTTTCAGGTACATTATTGAACCTTCTCTGGAGCTACAGTAAGTTTTTAAATGGAAACTGAGGTTTGGAGATACTGCACTTTCAGACACAAGAGGAGGGTGAGCTCCTGGATGGAGATATCTACATGAAGCTTCATCAGTGCTAGACCTTGGGAGGTTTGAGGAAGAGGAGAGCACATGAGAGGCTGCAACACTCAGCTCCTAAGCTGGAGAGTCTCTCTTTCCCTCCCCTGCTATGAAATGTGTACAGGAAGCACTGACCAGCACATGCAGCCTCACCCCATCCCAAGACCTCTGCCAAGAACCCTGGGGATGGGATTACAGCGGCAGCTATGCTGTGGTTCAAAACAAGGATAAATTCCTCCTTTAATTCTGTGGGGCTGTGTGAAATGAGGCAGGGCTGAGAGCAATGCAGGGATGTCTGCTGCAGCCCAAAGCTCCCCCTGCAGCCAGCCAGCCACGTTCCCCAGGCTGCACCCAGCACACCGAGCTCTGCTCTGCCTCATCTGCCTCCTCCTCTGCGCCCGGTTTCAAATCTCTTCAGCAATATGTTCCGTAACAATTAAGGATTTCTGGGGCAACTCCATTAAGATCACAAAGATATCCTTCTGCTTTGAAATGTGTGAGCATGAATGATCCATTCAGTACAGCACCCCTTGGCCACTCATATCTCTCTGATGATCAAATATATTTTTAATTATCAATCTATCTGAGGGTATTTTTTTCTCTAGACAATATCCAACTGTATTGTAAGAGCCATTTGGATTGATGCAGAGAATTTGGCAGCAAGATAGGGAACATTTGGGCTTTCAACACTTAGGAACATATGGAAAGAGGTTTGGAAGATTGCCACATGGGATGTAGCTTGGAAGATGCTACATTTCTTCATCCTTTTTTTTTTTTTTCTGAACAGAAATAGAAGAAATTTTACATTTTTTTGAAGGATCCCAATTCCTATTTTCTATGCTGCTCTAGGATAAACCATTATGGTCAGCTGCAAGTTTTGAGCAAAATCAGCTGCAAGTTTATGGGCAAATGTAGGTGGGCAATTAAAAGGATGGTGATATTGCAGATCTTTTCAAGTTTTTTACCTCCTAATTCATGAGAACTGTTTATTTTCTATGCTGCTCTAGGATAAACCATTATGGTCAGCTGCAAGTTTTGAGCAAAATCAGCTGCATGTTTATGGGCAAATGTAGGTGGGCAATTAAAAGGATGGTGATATTGCAGATCTTTTCAAGTTTTTTACCTCCTAATTCATGAGAACCTGCAGAGGAGAACTCACAAATCTGTACCCTGTGACTCAGATTTTGGGGTGAAGGAGGGATCTGGTGCCAGCCTGTCAGGATGTGCACCATTCACTGAGGGCTCCGAGGGCAAACCCTGCTGGTGGTTCTTCCTTCACACTCCTGCTGGGACCATCTGTCTCCCAGTCACCCTGGCACCCAGAGACAGACAGTCCAGGCTGTCTGTGTGTCTCTGGTACAGAGTTTCACCACGTGGCATCCCAGACACCTTTGGGACATCGTGGGAATGGGAGAGAGGAACCTCCTCCAGCTCAGCTCTCAGGACTGGATGCGTGTGAACCAACATCATCTTCACATCACTTCAGGGACAAATGCCTCAAGCCCATGATGGGAGTACTCTGTGTCTCTCAGAGTTATTGCCTCTGCTTGTCAGAAGAACAATGCCTTTTTTCTAATTTTTAATATATTTTTTTGTGCTTCCATTGTGTCCCAGGTTGGGGGGCTGCAGCAAATGCAGAATTTATTGGAATACACAAACATGTATTTGCACAATTAGCCAGTGGTCTCTGCAGCTTAGTAAATGCTAATTAATCTCTCAGACTGCTAGGAAATCATCACTATCCTAGTTCAGCAATGAGAGACAAAGACCAAAGAGAGTGGCAGGGGCTTATACTGAGTGACAGAGTCAGAGCAGACAGAATTGCAGACTTTGATGTTCTGAACAGTAAACCACTCAAGTTTGGCAAGACTGCACCTGAAGAGCAGAATGGAGGCACCTGGGGATTCTCCCTCAATCCCTGTCTCCAAGAGCTCAGCTCAGGGCAGGCTGCAGCTCCCATCCCACCCGGCTGCTCAGATTTCCTTTCCTTGAGAAGTGAGAGCAATGGGGAGCTCTGACTGCAGCAGGGAACTGGAAACCTGCCTGACTATGCATTCACTTCTGGGAATGGGAATCACTCTCAGACCCCCCTGGTTTGGTCATATCCTGAGCGTTTATTGTCCACAAATTCATTGCAGCTCGTATCTTGCATTTTCCTGTGAGAGTTTGTTTCAACACTTGCAGCCAAATAATGACTAGACAGGGCAAGTTCCTGTTATTTCTTTGCTAATGGGATGGCAGCAGTCATTAAGACATCTTTAGCTGAGGTGAAGGCTAAGATGACACCCAGGATCAGGAAGAGAGCATGGAGGGGTTGGTGACAAGAGCAGAGCAAGGAGAATCTCCTCCAAAGGTATTCAAAAACCTCTAGCAACAGCTTTTGAGAACTGACCACATAAGTCAGGAGAGCAAAAAAGATAGGCAAATCCCTAAATCATGTGGATGGGATTTGTTTTAGAATGAAATCTCTGCCTTTCTGAATAAAACCTGGAAAAGATCGTGTGAGCTTCAAGTATATTGTTAGCCATATATACAGCAACTGCACATTTCTGAGCCAGCTAAAATTTGATTCAGAATGCTTTAATATTTTGCTCCTTCTCACAGAGCACACCTTGATGGACATTAGTCTTTTCCATGGCCACAATAACCCCAAGTTCTGCTGTTTTGAGGACGCACTTTTGGTGTCAATTTGGAAATCTTTTGACTCTAACACAGTTACATAATTTTCTTAGAGAGATTAAGGAGCATTAAAACTATACGGACCAACGTTTCCTAGAACCCATCCAGTTACATGCTTCCTTGCATCTCCATTCCCATCTCTACTGATATAAAAGGAGAAAAAGGACTCTCCTATCAGCCTGCTCCTGCTGTCTGATTAGCTGGCAGCTATCACTGCTCTTCTTTTGCTCTGTTACAGTTTCATTTCCAGAGGAAAAAGCCCTGATGGATATTAAGCCTCAGGATTGTGGCACCACTGCAAATTAAATGAGGTTTCTGTTTATACCAAAGGGACGGCAGTGCCTCCTTAATCAGGCTGTCTGTTCTTGGGAAATCAGCAGATATTTTGCCTAAAAGCACCCAGCAGTGCAGTGTAACTCAGTAATAACTGTTTATTTGGGCTCAGGAGGGAAACCCCAGAAGAAAAACTGTAGTTAGGATCTGTAAAAAAATCTAAAATCTGTAGTTAGAAGCACTGGTGAGTGGTTGACTTAGGGGAGTTTCTTTTGCCTTTTGTTTTAAGATTGCCTGAACTT